CACCTGGCATGCACTCCTCTCTTGCGTGGCACATTGTGGTTACTTGCTGTTTTTAGACACGTATAAAAGTTAAAATATAACACACTTGGCTCACACAGCCAAATAAATCAAGCAAGAGGTGGTCTTTATTACTTTACCGCTTCTTTCCTGTTTTGATGCCATTTACTATCTTAGTAAATAGGTTAGCTAGCTAGCTATTTAGCTGTGTGAGAGATCTACAGAGCAGGGGTGTAATGGGAGGTAAACCTTATGCACCTCTTTGAAATGAAGTTAGAGTTTACTCATCTAGACCTTGACGCCTGCCTAAATCCACTTTTTTCCCCTGTAATCATATTTGATCGCCCGTTTGCATGGGTCCTGCTACACCAGCTGTTTTTCCCCTGACGCTATTTGCCAATGCGTTTTTTTAAGCAGCCACGCCTGTAGCGATTTGTTTCTGTGTGATTGGCCCCTTACTTACTAAAGTTTAAGAACCCTGTTATCACTGTTATTTGTGAAATTTGTTTTAATGGTTTCTTTACTCAGGGGCCACAAGGTAATTACATCTCTAAGCTGTTTAATTTTCACATCTTCAGCATTAAGGCACCATTAGTTAAGTGTCAGTGAACTCTGAACGAGAGCTAAAATAAAGCAACAGCTGCCAAAGCTGCGGGGGGAAGACAGGGACGACCCCTCAATGGATAAATACATAAATAATACGTCTCTACATGTGGCTCCTTCAAGGCCACCTAGGAGTCTGCAGGATGACCTCTAGCCTTGTCAAGAAGACCCTTTACTTTCTCTTGTGGAATCTGCACCAGTTGCAAAGGCTATAAGCCACGGGCCTCATGCCTTGAAACTGGAGAAGCTGCTGAAAAGCCAAACCTGGCCTCAGAAATACGTCCTGTAGACAAGCGGTGAGGATCAACGGGGCCCATGCGGCACCAGGACCCTGTGATATTTGATCAGGCTCGACGCATCCCATTGCGTCTGCCCACCCTGCCTCACCTCCTCCGTCTGCACACACCCAACACCTCACACCCAGTCCTAGGGATAAGTGGTCCCTTGCTATAAATACCGAGGCAGGATGGAAGCTTGGAGGGAGCCAAAACAGAGCGGGCGGTGGGAGGAGGAAGGCGAGTATGGCTAAAACATTAAGAGTGAACACCTGTTAATAAGGTGTCAAGGAGTCAAATGTGAGGTGACACTAAAAAAATAAGTCCATAATCTTCCAGTTTAATCCCCAGTGTTGCTGCTTTCAGCGTTTGCCCCAACGCCCTTCAAAACAAACACCTGCACACATTGAATCACACACTTCGCACACACATTTTGTTCTTTCCTAAGTTTCAACACCTTCTTTTTATCGTGTCCCCACCCCTCTGGGTCTGTCTGTCTGACTCCTCATCCTTATCCGCCTCTCCCTATCGCCCTCTCTGATTCTCAAGAAAACAGGTGCAAGGAGGAGTGTCCAGTACACACACACATACACACACACACACACACACAGACACATATAAGCACTTCATGCATGATTCCTGCTTCAGCCCCGCCTTTCCCTCACCAGAACCTGTGGCCAAAGAATGCAGAACATTTCCTTCTGTCCCCTTAGCTGCAGCGTCTTCAAATTGAGGAGCAAATATAGCCTCTGTCATCCATGTGAAAGTCAGAGCTGTGGAGCTCTCAAACAACCCGCCATATTTCCCCATATTCATGTTCAGAACAGAGGACGACTGTCAGTGCTCTAAGCTAAAAAGGCTCTACGTGCTTGAGGGGATCTCCTGCTTGAGAGATATTGCAAATAATCATAAATGAATGTAGCATGTATTTCCTAACAAAAGTCTTCTGTAAAACAGGGAGGGGTCAAGGTTTTTCAGCCTTCAACCAGTGAGAGAGAACTAACCAGGAAATCACCTGGTTAGGTCTTTGGTTGCAATGGCACATGGTTTCCTACCACAAGTTTAAAAATTAACAAGGCTGAAGGTTCATCCAGAAAACACATTCGATTGTGAAACTGGCAAATACTGAAATACTTGCAAGTTAAATAGTTTTTTTTAATGATAACAAATAGAGACCTGTCAGCCAAAAATTACATAGAGAACCATTTTTTAAAAACCTACCTCATGACAAGTGGGACTGCCAAACCAAAAAAATTGGTTAACTCTTGCATGACTTCCTTGTTTCACTTCAGTTAAAATCACAAATATCTAGAGAGGGGCATGGGAAAAAGACAACATATCTGTTCACATTAATTTGACCATCTTAGCCGATGCCCTTATTGGTAGTTAAAATAAGTAATGGGGGGAGAAAGGGGAAGCTTGGAGTGCAGTCCTGCATGAAAGATGTAACACTCACTGTAACTGGCTGTAGCAGAAACTGCATATCAAAAGCATTAAGTGCTGGCTAAACAAGGCCTAATGCAACAATGGCAATTGTGAATTTGGAGGGAGATGTGATGTTAAAAGTTTGGCGGCAACGTTATGCGCGCGTTCCTCCATTCAGTCGCTAATGAGAATGATAATTTGTGGCTCCTCTGACGACCCCTACCCCCTTCAATAGCGACTTCTCCCAAGGGAGCTGATGGCGCAGATCCCCGAGGGACATTCAGCCCTCTATAGGAATTCCTTTTCATCCCCTGATAGAGATTCCCGCCTGTTTCGTTTTATAAAGGCTGTGGTTGATTATATATATATGGTAGTCCACATTTCTTAATACTGTTTATTGTAATATAGTTGGCCCTGTATCTCAGCCAGTGGAGCAAACCGATTACAGGATTGAGGATTCAACATCTGAATATCTGTATACATCTGTGCCATTATGTGTTCACACTACATTACATTACATTACATTTATCCTACAGTGTATCTCTCTTCCTATGCCACTTAATACTTCTTAAATGTATTTTCTTCTTAACATAATACTGTTGCTTGTTCACCTGGCTTCTTCAATGCAAACAGTTTGAATATGACACTTCTTTACGTTCATTCATATTCCCCAACACGCTCATGACCGCAGAGCAGAGGCAGAGGCAGCAGCTTCCACCTGAATGGCAAACAGCCTACAATATGTTGCCATGTAAAAATAGGATGGGCTCAGCTTCTCTAGCGAGTGTACACTGCTGGATCCGAGTCCCCCCGCGATCCCTCGTGTTTACACCGGACTAGGCTCGCTTCTTGGCGACCACGCGTGTGTGTGTTCACCTCCGCAGAGCCGACTGCACGACCCGGCCTGCCAGCGGGGATTTACTGACTGGCGCTGTGCCCGACCGCAGGCAGACTAGTTCGCTCGGTTCTCACGACCTCAGCTCCACAAAGGCATCTCTGAACTATTAACTGAGACACGAAGGCAGTAGAACAACCGCAGAACCCACACACGCTGCCAACTGGTGTTTCAGTATGCCTACTCGCAGAAGGAAACAGCAGAAGCATCACTGGCAGTGGGGTTTCAGTATGCCATTTACTGATGGTGTCATCTGCAGGGCACTGGCACACAACAGGGTGAAAGTGAGAACGCAACTGCACGTCTCAACAGTCCAACTGTTAAGTGAAGACGAATAAAGAGTTGTACAGTGCAAAGACAACTATCTCAAGTCATGGAAGAAATACCCTGATATGCCTCCACCTACTGTTAAATGTTCCTACTTCCCAAACAAACGTGTTTCCTACTCTTTCTTCACTCATGTGATCTCTGTATTCGTGCATGTTTCAATAACCCATTTCTCCCTTAAAGGCAAATGTACACTAAAAGTCATTCAAAGGACATGAATGGCCTAAACACTGGTAGATTCAGCAGAACTTCTGATGTTTACAGTCGACAGGATTTTGAATATGAGACTTCAAAACATGTTTTTGGGCTGTGGATATCTTTACACAGGAGATGTGCACATAACTTAAAGTTTTAAAACTAAACATTTGAGCTGAACAAATCAACAAGAATGTTTATCTTGTGGTGGTCAAAGCTAGGAAACGCTTTAAAACCGACCGACCTGTGCCAGCCATGCGCACCCACGGCGCGCCGGTGGAGTATTGAATGTTGAGGGGTTTTGACCGGCGGTCACCAGGCTGTAACCTAATCCCTAGTAAAGGGGCCCGCTGACTGCAAGTGGCTGACACACGGCTAGCGCCACGCCGTCCGACACAGAAACACTGCCCTCAGTTCCAGACTCCACTCACCGGAGGGAGATAAGTTTACACCCAGGGATAAACAGGGACAGGAGGGAGAGATCGAGAGAGAGAGAGACCTTTAATACACAGAAAAGTGTGTAAAGCTGTGAGGAGAAAGCACCTGAACAGATGAAGACTGTATATAAATAAAATACCTGTTCAGATGATCTTGCCAGTGAGTGTTTGAGAGTTTCAGATGTTCTATAACATGGGGTAATAGCTTTCTTTATCTACCCCGACTTCTGTCAGGTTTCCCCGCCATCTGACAAAAGTCTAACCAAGTTCCCTCATTTTCCTCTCTATCGAGGTGTAGGCCCACTGGGAGTGGAATTGAACAATTGATACACAAAAGGAAGCGAGGATCCTTCCATATTCTTCTTTCACTGAGGCAATCTGTTAGTGACATTAACCCCTGAGCACATTTCCCAGACTCATGAATGGGGTCTAAGACTTCTTAAAGCTCCCGCTGCATACAGGATGAGACCCTTTTCAAACTTTTAATTACCTTTATAGCAATAGAAAAATACACCCCCATTGTCCCGTGGACCGTTCTCCAGCGGGTCAGATGTAAAAGGCTCCCGCCAAACTGGTGACAAGGTGGCCACTTAAAACTTAGTAAATTAATTGATAGGAGTTCATATAGGGAACATAATCAATGCTGCATCTTTGTTTTGGCATCAGCTATAACTGCTGTTTCAAAGTTAGATTCCCTAACTTATCTTCAATTCACCACTCTGACTTTTACGCATGAAATGTAACTTTTACACACGGCCTCAAAAACTACAGAATTACCCTTTTGCTCTTCAGTGAGGTATAACAAAGCAACTTGGACATGATAGAAACAGGCTTTAGACAAGAAAGTTAATTTCTGAAATCTCGTTTATTCAAACAATGGGCCATCACCCAACTTCAGTTTTTTTTTTCTTTTCAACACAAAACAACAAAGAATATAAAACACAGCTTTGGTATAACAATCAATAACAACTCTGTACAAAACTAAACCTTTTCATAAAAAGTACTTCATAACAAACATTTCCTATAAATCTTCCTCTGCATGTACAGCATTTATCACCGACATCCAAATGTTGGAATCAGGCGATAAATTATAAAAACCATGTGCCATTCAAGGCAACCGATGTTCCATTAAACGAAACAATGACAACTACTGGGGGGGGCATTAAGTGGTTAGAGTTACCGTCCCGTAGCGGAAAAGTTCCAGGTTTAACCCCCGCAACAGCTGTGCGTGCAGTCAGTTAAATGTCTAAACTGGAAAAAGTAATGCAAACTGGTTTCTCGTGAGTCTCTTGTCCCTCGCGCTACCAAGGCCGCCACACAGGCTCGTTGCTCTCCGAGCCGGTGCTGACCCCGACCGGGCTGACCGCTTGGGATCCCCCGGAGAAGGACGTCATGCCGTGGACCGGAGAAGCCGCAGTCGGTGCCGAGCTGCCATGCACCGGACTGGCGTTGAGCGCAACAGGCACTCCTGCGTTTGCGTAAAGTGGGATGACAGGGGCTGTAGCGGAGGCAAAGGCCGGGTTAGGGATCAAGAAAGCGAACTGTCCATCGGTTGCGGGCACCAGCTGGAACCCACCAAAGACCTTCGGGGAGACGGCCTCGGCGGGGCTGAGTTTGGAGCTCATAGCGGCGCTGCTGATGGGCAGAGTGGATGGGAGCTGCACATGGAGGGGCTGAGCCAGGTGCGCCTGCTGGGACGCGGCCTGCTGCGGGTAGTTCATGGACATCATCTGGCCCATGCAGCTGGACAGGTGGTTGAGGAGCCTCGACCTCACCTCCGTGTTCACCCCCTCAGAGGTGGACAGGAAGCGGGTGACCTCGTTCATGCACTCGTTGAATCCGGCTCTGTATTTGCTCAGGACGGTGGCATCTGCTGAGAGCGCTGCTGGAGGAGAGAAAGATGACGGATATTAGTGACGCAAATGTAGCTTTGTGACGCTTTCAACACCGGGCGGATGACCTCATAATTCTGACTTGCTTTTCATGATCAAACAAACTTACCGCTCATCTGTACGCGCTGCAGGTTCCTCAAGTGCTTCACTGTCATCTCCAGGATGTCTGCTTTCTCCAGCTTGGAGTGTCTGGAGCTCTGTAGGACATAACATGAAAAGTTGAGTCTGTATTCAAGGAACATTTAAAACGAGATCATCTGAACACGAAAGAGGAATTACAGGCATCAACATTATCTCAACTTACATCTTTTTTAAGTGCGTCCAGGATGAGAGTCTTGAGCTGCCCGAGGCTTTCGTTTATTCTCGCTCTCCGGCGTTTTTCCATGATCGGTTTGGATGACTGCAAAGAATAAACAAGTCTACATAAATGTGTTGCTCACAAGCACACATTTCAACTCTGCACACTGCATGCCAAGCCACAGCTGTACCACAAACTTGTTAACTGCGTTGCAAACTTTGTATAGATACAATATATTGACTTGCGAAAATAAAAAACAAATCCTTACTTTTCTATGCTCGCTGGCATTTTTCGGTTTGTCCGGTGTGTGTGATCCGTTTGCAGGGGCTCCGGCAATAGGAGATGCCGTCTGCTTTTCCATAGTGTCAGCTGGCATTGTGGATCAAACCAGGTAAAAGCGTAAAGAAGTAAATCCTCTTTGCAAGCGACGGAAAAGGGGAAAAAAAGATTGAAACACTCTGGAGATGTTTCAAAAACAATCACGTTGAGCCACTGCAGAGCTTATAAGAGATGTCTGACAGTCCCACCGATCAGTTTGCTGTATGTTATCACTGAGCTGTCATGTGAGTACAGGAGCGTGCGTTGCACCGTGCGGGGCGACTCTCCGCTTCTGCCGCCGACACACGCCGCGGCCGTACTTATAGACGACTCGCGTGCTCCCAGTTCGTGTGAAACCCTCTCTGCATTCTTTCCCACACTCGCATCAGCCAATAGCAGCGAGGACTCACCCATTGGGCGCGGGGCAGACCGCTGATTGGACAACACCCCCGCGGGCCGTCAGTCACGCGCTGCTCAATCAGCCCTGCAGGGACAAACAACAAAGCGGAGCGAGCAGCAGCGGCCAGGCCGGGCTGTGAAGTGATAAGGGAGGGGAATGCGCTGGATGTTTGCTTCCAACTTTGCTCCGTGCTCGTCAAAAATGTTATACTGCTCGGTGTGTGTGTGTGTGTG